CGTGGTTGTTCATATTCTCATTCTTACATTTTACAATTTCTCAGCATGTCTGAAAATAGGTTTTTGAAAAGCATATGTTTAAAGTTGATTTTAATAAAAAATCTCAGATTATTGATGCTGAGTTTGCGCGATATATGCTTTATAAATGTGCCGACAGACAAAGCATTTTTATAAGTAATGAAGGAAAAATGGAACTTGCAACTTAGAATGGGTAACGACCATATGAAGTCCAAGCACACAAAAGACTACTGATTACTATGTCCATCTCTTATGAGATGGCACAATGCGCTTTGCATGTAAACACTGAGTTATGCGGAGTTATAAATTACTCCGGACGTGTGTGCAGTTATGTATTGGATTATTCATGATGTACATGTGAAACAGGATGGGCAGTTATGAGCACACAAAAGTGCTAAATCGTATATATATGCATATGGAATATATAAAGCATGTATACGATTACTTACAACACACCGCTAGATAAACTCTTTAGTGGAGACCTGAGCTGAAGAAGTGACTTCAGGTTGGGGGGTGACTTTGACTGAGTGACTGTGATTCATTTGCAAAACAAAAGGTGTTAATGGTGCTGGAGAGGGGGCGGGCAGCTTGTGTGGGGAGTAAGGGGGGGCCTCTCGTGAGGAGAGCCTCATTTTTCCATGAATTCTAGTGTTAGCTGTCGAATGCGCTGTGCTGCTTTCACTTTTGCGCAATCGTCATCGTAGTCGAAAGCGTCCCGTCCCGTTACCGTTCCCGCCGAGACCCATTCCCGCCCCGTTCCCGTACCGTCTGGGCCTCCCACCGTCCCGTCCCGTTTCCGTGAAAAATCTAAATTTCCACTCCCGTTCCCGTCCGTTCCCGCGGTATTCCCGCGGGAACGGTATTCCCGCCCATCCCTAATATGGATGGAGCCTGCAGCCAGATACTCTTGTTTTTTTTCTTCTCCTTTGTCCCCTTATGGGCTCCGTAGTTTCCTGTCCGCAACATATTTTTTTTCCCCGCAGCGCAGCAGCATAGTTTGCGTGCTCCCAGCGTCCTAATTCTTTGTACTTGCGTATACCCTTAAAATGCTGTTGAATAACGACTTACGAAAATCAAGGAATAAGCACCGGCTTCCAGGTGGGTTACATCTGAACACAATCTCGAGAATGACTTCATGGACAATCTGGTCGGGGAAGAAAGTCAGACAGGGAAGTGCGGCCAAACTGAAGATCTAGCTTCGTCTGTCGACTTAAGCTGTGCTTTCATCTGTTTCGCCATTCACAACTTGGCAAGTAACTGGCCAGATTGTTAAAATAGGCCTAGATTAGATATATATTTGAGACCTAGACACATGTTAGGTTCATGTTTATATAATTTAATTCAAGTGCTTTCACTTTAGTTACGAAAATAGTATTTGCAACATTCTACGATTTGCGATTCTACGACTTGACTCTAGGGGGGCTCAGCCCCCCGCCTCATGATTACATTTGCAGAGACGAGGGGGGTTCCCCACGATAACGTTTACAGATCTGGGGGTATGAAATGTCTACGACAATCAGGTGTTGTGCCGAATTCGGCACCCCTGCCGTGAACGAGAAAAAAAGGTTATTTATTTGTCCCGTCATTAGTTTACTAGTTTATGAACAAGGAAGTCCTTGGCTTTATTAACCAAAGAAAATTATATAATTCTTATACACATTTAGTAATTTATTTTTCTCCGCAATGAAGAGGATGTTCTGGTACAGTGATCTGAAATGCCTAAACAAAAAATATGTTTGTCTTTATGACGGCTTACCTGCCAGGAAATCCATTTGATTCTATCACGAAATACTGTTAGCAGCCAACACATTTAACGAACTACATAATAATTATTGAATTTCATAAATGCGATATTAATGCAGCACGCAGGGGGTACATTTTACGGCAGCTTACTTGTATAATATTTAAGAAACTGGCTCAGTAACTGTGTTGTTAGTACCTTACAGAGTTTGCACTGTTTATTGATGTTGGTCTATTGTGTGTCTATTGTGTAAAATATTTTAGGTGAAGATAAACAGACAGGAACATGTAGGGGGTGGGGGTGTATCCTTACGCATAAGGGTATGCACCTCTTTCAAATCTAGCTGCACTGAAATTGAATTTGTGAAGCTTGCTCAGATAATACACACAGCGGACCTAAATAAGTCATCCAAAAAATTATGATATGATCATCTGAGAGAACGATCTTGAGAGATCTTCATGTAAGCAGGGTACCTGGGGGGAAATGACCCCCATTGAATTCTGGCTCTATTGGTGCTATATTAATTCCACACAGAGTGTACTACTATCAAAACATTTTGTGATATAATCACTGGAAACGACGATGCTGGGGTGGTGCAGGGCTCATACAGGATGCCTTCTATGAACTGCATATATGACTATTATCAAGATCTGTTCTTTACATCATCTATATGTACATATCTATCATGTATATATACATATTAACATTATGTGGAAAGACATGTCCAGGAGAGAGATTTTTTTCCTTATTCCGATATTTTTATCTCCCGTTTTCCTCCACTTGTTTCCTCTGTTTTTCTACCACCACAATGTGCACACAACAGAAGTGACATAACCATGACATCCAATCCAAGTTGATTAACTGGCTTGATTCACTCTAGGATCCTGAAAGAGCACTACTCTGAAGTGAAATGGAGCACAGAAAATGTGAACATTTCAGTATATACCATAAGCCTCTTCAAATAAGAAAACAATATAAGTTTTCATTGCTAAGTGTTTTTTCCTCTTGCAGCTTTTGTTTTTGAATATTGATTTCATATTTAGTGGTTTCCTAATTTTCTGGCATTGTGATGATACTTCAACCTCAAACCTTCATGGCTTTCCCTGCTGTGGCGTTGCTGATCCTGGGCTTTCCTCACCGCGCCTCTTCAGGTAGGACTCAGCTCTGGGGCTGTTTGACATCAGAACATCACACAGGAGGTCTGCATACATCATTCATATAGAAGACATTCTTTAAAGAGCACCTCAGACTTATTTACTGTGTAATGACAATTCAGAGTCAGACAGTATTTCACCATGCACTCAGCTTATACTGGGAACTTGGTTTGGTTTGGATGCCACCTAGGGAAAAATTCAGTTTATTTTTATATAGAGCCTTTCATAACAGAGGCACTCTAAGGTGGTTTACATAGCTATGTTGTAATACATTACTACATTATTTATAAAGAAACCGTGGTGATTCTAGCTTGTATGGCACCCTGTGCGAACCCCACCTTCAGCGCCCGCCAACCCCAAAAACTGTGAATTTATCTCCAACCCCCTGTGCCTCCACCAAAAATAAAAACACTCGGCACTGTCATTTTTGTCAAATTTAGAACAATATAAATAACTAAGGATAAATTTTAAACTGATTTTACTAATTGCATTAATACTGTACAGAGTTAGGGGTGCACTATTTGATAGATTTTCCCGCTCCCCATACCTTGGGCTTCCAGTGGGGCGACCTGAGGTACCGAGGTACCCAACTCACAAACTAGAATCGGGGCACCCACTCCAGCAAGGTTAATTGACCCTCAAGTTGACGATATCACAGCGCAAATGAGTGATAGAAAGTCTATCACACAAATATCAGAACTGAATTTTTTTTTGTGCAGACTCCCCGTGCCACCCCCAGTAAGATGCTGCTCTGGGTGGCTGCTTATGTTACTCATACCTAAATCCGTCAGTGTACAGAATAATTCAAAAACAAGAAAAATGGAAAACAAAGAATGAAATAATGAAACAAAGAAAGCCAGACAACAGATGAGAGTAACCAATAACTCCCATGTAGGGGGGAGGAAACCTTTGAGGGTCAGTTGGCTACCCAACCCCCCAGGCATGCTAACATTATAGAAAAAGAAAGAATGGGCCTCCTTGCTAAAAGCAAGGTGTAAACTGTAATCGTGGTCAAAACCAAAGTCCATCAATGGTAGATTGAAGAGAACATATTATACAGAACATATACAGAACATATTATACAAATATGTAACTTGTGGGGGATTCAAAACATATTATGTTTACAATGAGATACACTCACAGAACATGGGAAACACACAGAGGTTTATGGAGATTGAATGTACTGCATGTATGCTCTACACAGTATTACGTAAACCAGAGCTTGTTGATGGAAAGTAATGTTTGGCCAGTTGTAGGAATTTGGACTGGCCAATATCAATAAACAGTCTTTCCTTTTTAAATGTACAGAATCCCATTCACTGTCATTCTTGGCGACATTCATCTATGGAGAGACACCATTCCCTGAGTTTACACTGGTACTGACAGTCAACAATGTCCCAGTTGAGTACTACGACAGCAATGTTAAAAAGATTGTCTCACGGAGACACTGGAGGCCAAACGACACTGTTGAGGATACTGAGGGGAAATATTCTGTGGTGGGAGAGACACACAGAAGTATGAAAATTGCTACTGATCTTATGATGAAGCGCTTTAATCATACTAACGGTATGTCCACTGTTTTTGTTCCCTTTATTCCTCTTCAAACTACTTATTCTGGGCCGGGTCATGGGGAGGCCAGGCACAGTGCATATCACTGGGGCACATCCTGGATGGGAAGCTGGTCCATCATAGGGCCCATACACACACTGGCACTCTATGGGAAATTTTGAGATGCCAGTTAGCCTACATGCATATCTTTGAATTGTGAAAGAAAACAAGAGCTCTCAGCCCACAAAACACAAGGAGAACATGCAACCCCCAGACACACTCAGGCAGTGGGATTCAAACCCACAGACTTGGAGGTGTGAAGTGACAGTTCTACCTACTGAGCCACCATGACATCCTGACTTACGGTGCTTTTAGAACCAAATGGCAAGAAAGTGTTTTATCAGAATAAATGCAACTGACTCTTTACATCACACTAACATTTGTAATAATTTGAGAGATGCATGACATGACACCATTTTCCATATGATTACATCCCATACAGTGTTGTGGTGATCCTGGAGCTTATCTCAGAAACTTCAGGATGTCAGTCCATTGCAGGGCACACAATGGGCAGTACAGACACATTGGAAAAAACCTACACAAACACACACAAAGGTGTGAAGCCAATGTGCTACCCACTGAGCAACTCCTGTTAACGTCCAATTTGTTTTTATTGTTTGGATTCATTCAGGAGAGGAAACTAGTGGACTTCCTAGCTCCAGAAAACTGGAGTTTCTTGCCTCTGATCTGGGCTTTCTATGTGAAGTAACTGCTC